TGAGAAATCACCCCCCAGGGGAGATGGCCACGCTGTAATCCCTTCTCCTCCATTCTCGGGATCTTGGGCACACATGCACGCATGCTTGGCGTGAGGTTTAAGCCACTGGGTCCAGGACTCGAATTGCAGTTGACTACATGGGAGTCCAGCGACATGGCCACTACTTACGCCAACTGCTGGTCCTCTGGTATGTTTTCTTTTCTTTTATTTTTTTAAAAAGAATTATTTAACTTTTACTTTATTCATTCATTTATTCATTATTTTAATTTGACCAGAGAGAGACACACAGAAAAAGAGAGAGAAAGTGAGAAAGCAAGCCACCAGGTCCGGGACTCGAACCGTGGTCTGCCATATGGGAGTGTCCAGCACCTTAACGCCACCTGCTAGCCCCAGGATTCAGTGCCTTAACCTCTACACCACCTGCTGGCCCCAGTCTTTGCTCTTTTCAAAAGCTTATTTATTGTATTGAGACCAGCAGGTGGTGTGGTGGGCAAGGCACTGGACTCCCACATGGCTGACTGCAGTTTGAGTCCTGGACTTGGCAGCTTGCTTTCTCACTTTCTCTGTCTCTCTCTCTCTCTGATGAGCACACGTGCCCTATACAAATTTTTAAAAGTAATAATAGAGGCCAGCAGATAGTGTGGTGGTTGGGGCTCTGGACTCCCACATGGCCACCTGGAGTTCAGGTCCTAGACCCGGCAGCTTGCTTTCTCAGACTCTTTCTCTCTCTGCTCAAATTAAAAAATCGTAATAAGTAAATACATTTAAAAAGTAATAATAAATACAACTTTTAAAATAATAAAATTAAGCAGTTATTAAAAAATAGGGAACAACAGATGGCATAATAGTCACGTGGCTGGACTCTCACAGTCCACCATGGTTCGAGTTCTGGACCGGGTGGCTTAAACTTCACCAGGTGTGTACGTGCTTGCCCAAGACCCTGAGAGGAGAATGAAGAAAGGATTGCGGGACCAGCAGGGGGGCGTGGTGGTTAAGGCACTGGACACTCCCACATGGCTGACCACGGTTCGAGTCCTGGATCTGGTGGCTTGCTTTCTCACTTTCCCTCTCTCTCTCTGTCTAACTCTGGTCAAATTAAAATAAATAAATAAATAAATAAATAAATGGATAAATAAATAACTTAAAAATAAAAGAAAAAAGAAGGGATTGCGGGGTGGCCACCCCTCCTGGGGGGGTGATTTCGCACTTTCTTTCTGTCTGCCTGGCGAATGCACATGCCCTTACAGCAAAAATCTCTCTAAACAAATTTAAAACTGTAACAAAAGGTAATTTGCTGCACGAGTGAGTGACACGCAGAGTCGGCTCCCATGACAGGCCCTCCACGTCGTGGTTCCTGGCCTCAGCCAGGTCACTGACCTGAACCTCCCCACGTGGCCCTGCCTCCCAGAGCACTGCACCCACTGCTGTGTGCCCGCCTTGCCAGCCGGCCACTGCTGACCTGACCCAGTTCTACGGGCAGCTCAGGGAGAGAGGCGCGAGTGCGCTCACCTGCCTGGTGAAACCCTTCCGACAGCCCCCCGCAGCCGGAGAACACATCCAGAGTCCGCAGCTTGGGCAGCTTGATCTCCGCCTCCCGTTCGCTAGGTTCGCAGGTTTGAGACTTCGCCTTGCCCTTTCCTGGGGGAGACGGGCCAGGGTCACTCAGCCGCCAGCCGCGCAAGGCCACAGAAGAGAGCCCCAGGACAACCGTGGGCAATGGCCTACCTTTTCCCTTCCCCTTCCCCTTGTTCCCAGGGCTACGGGCGTGGTTAGGAGGGTCTTCGAAGCTTTTGGTCTTGGCGTTATAGGCCTGAAAAGCAGAGAACCGTGACAGTCTGGGAGAAAAGCACAGCAAACCCCAAGAAGATGATTGAAGAATTTCATAGTGGCCAGCAGGTGGCGTGGTGAGTAAGGAGCTAGACATTCCCACATGGCTGACTACGGTTCAAGTCCTGGGCCTAGCAGCTTGCTTTCTCACTTTACCCTCTCTCTGTTAACTTAAAATAATAATAACAAAATTAAATAATTCTTTAAAAAAATTCATAAAGAGCCACTTCATTTCTCCCTAAATAGAGAAATCACCCCCTGGGGGATGGCCATGCCGCAATCCCTTCTCCTCCATTCTCCTCTTGGGATCTTGGGCACGCATGCATATGTGCCCAGCATGAGTTTAAGTCACCGGGTCCAGGACTCGAACCACGGCCAACTACATGGGAGTCCAGCGACACAGCCATTATGCCAACTGCTGGTCACAAATCCATATGGAATGTTTGAACAAACATTTTCCATGACCTTTTTGAAGACCCCCTGCTAGAAGAACCCAGAATGTCTATTTTAGAAATAGGGAAACGTGTTTTAGAAAAGAGAGAGAGCTGACCAATCAGGCTTCCGCCCCGACCCCGGGAAATAAACAAGTACGCTGCTGTAAGATACTCAAACAGCAAAGTCAACTGTGAACAATCCCAAAGCAATTGGCTTAATGCATGGATTCCCGCATCCTCACCACGGGCTGCATCTTCCAGGGGAGGAAGGCCTTCCCTGATTAACACTAAGGCTGGTCAGGCTGGCACAGACCACCTCAAATAAACTCCAGTTGCATTAGGTCATTAAAACGTTACATCTTTCTGGGGCCAGCAGGTGGCGTGGTGGGTAAGGGCACTGGACTCCCACGCGGCAGTAACATAGGTCGAGTCCCAGGTCTGCTGGTTTGCTTTCTCACGTTCCTTCTCTCTCACTCTGTCCCTCTCTGCTCAAATTAAAATACATAAATTTCAATAAAATAATTCTTTTTAATAAATTTTCTACCACTGTTTGGCCTACAGATTGCCTTTTTTTTTTTTTTTTTTAAAGAAAGATATTTGCCATAGGGCATGTGCACTCGTTGGAGAGACAGAAAGTGAGAAATCACCCCCAGGAAGGATGGCCATGCCGCAATCCCTACTCCTCCATTCACCTCTTGGGATCTTGGGTACGTACGTACATGCGCCCTAACGTGAGTTTTATGCTGCCAGATCTGGGATTCGAGCCATGGGCGACTGACTAGTGGGAGTCCAGCGACATAGCCATTATGCCATCTGGTGGTCCCTGTCATTTATATTTTCTTTAAATTGAAAATGTTGGGGCCGACAGGTGGTGTGGTGATTCAGGGTGCTGGGCTCCCACATGGCCGACCGTGGTTCGAGTCTCAGACCTGGCGCCTTGCTTTCTTACTTCCCCCGTTCTCTTTCTCTCTCTCACTCTGTCCCTCTCTGGTCAAATTAAAATAAGTAAATAAAGGTCAACAAAGTGATAATAAAATTACTCTTAAAAATAAATAAATACATCCATGGGCAGCGTTCACTGAAGCCCAGGACAACGTGAAAGTCACAGACCCGTGCTGGTCTGTGACGACTTGAGCTTGGTCAAGGGCACCCGGGAAGTGTGGAAGTGTGTTCACGCTACCCAGACTGTTCCCCATGAAAGCCAAAGCCTGCGAAGACGCCCTTCGTGCTAGCTGGCTGTAACCCACCCCCGCCGCCCCAGGCCAGCCTGGGCCCCACCTCAAGGAAGTAGAAGCGGTCGGGGCCACCGTCAGAGTAGTCCTGGACACACTCGGGCAGGTCCTCCCCGTACTCCACGGTGCAGCGGCCCTGCACGGCCTTGAAGTCCACCACGGCCTCCTCGTCGCTCCAGTAGAGCAGGTTGATGTCCGCGTGGTAGCTCGCCGGGGTGGACTTGTGCGTGTTCTCGGGCCTGCGGGAGGGAAGGGCTTGGTGAGGAACCCCCTCGCGGGGAGTCTGCAGCACGTTCCTGGGGTGCTCAGTGAGCCCACAGTAGACCAGATGCCCAAGCTGAGTCCGCCTAAAGACCACCCACCCCCTCTACCTGGCTTCAAGGATGACAGAGCGGGATTCCTGGGCATGAGCGCTTCGCCTCCCCTACCTGCCCAACCAGAGTTTGAACCCCGACCCTGGCAGCCTGAAAAACATGCTCACCACACACCGGCCCCTACTGAACTCTTAAAATAACACTGCGTGGGGGCCGGCAGGTGGCAGGGTGGTTAAACGTGCTGGATTCCCACGTGGCCGACCGTGGTTTGAGTCCCGGACCTGGAGGTTTGCTTTCTCGCTTTCCCTTTCTCTCTCTGTCTTCTCTGGTCAAATTAAATATAAAGAATTCTTAAAAAAGAAAAAAAAAATTGTGTGTTGGGCCAGCCAGTGGCATGACAGTTAAGGCAGACGGATTTCACATGGCTGACCGAGCAGTTCAAGACTTGGTTTAAAAAACATGCTGGCCTTTGGGACCAGCAGGTGGTGTAGTGGTTAAGGTGCTGACCCACATGGCTGACCGTGGTTCAAGTCCTGGACCTGGCAGCTTGCTTTCTCACTACCCCCCACCTCGTATGTCTCTCTGTTCAAATAAAAATAAGTGAATGAATACATGAAATTAAATAAAACATTCTTTAAAATAAAAAAATGCTGGCGTTATGTGCATCTGTGCTCAAAATCCTGAGGGGGGAATGGAGAAGGGATTGTGGCGTGGCCATCTCTGCTGGGGGGGTGATTTTTCACTTGTTCGATCTCTGGGGAGCACACGCACCATACGGAAAAACAAAAATAAAACAAAACTGTGGCCAGTCTTGGTGGTGTGAGCTCTAAGGCACTGCTCCACAGGCCAGGACTACACGGGAGGCCGGGTTCAATCCCTGGCCCTGTGGCAAAGACCTAGAAAATAACGGAATGAAACATGGGACCAGCAGGTGATGTGGTGCTTAGGGCGCTGGACAATCCTGCATGGCTGACCACGGTTCAAGTCCCGGACCTGATGGCTTGCTTTCTCACTTTCCTCTCTCTCTCTCTAGTCAAATTAAAATAAATAAGTAAAATAATAATAATAATTCTTAAAATAAAACAAAAAAACAAAAAACAGACAGACAGAAAGAAAACAGCTGGCCATGCTGGGGCACACCTGTAGTCCCAGGAGACTACGTGACTCTGTCCTTTTTTTTTTTAACATTTTTTGCTACAGGGCACCTACATTCACCAGAGAGACAGAAAGCGAGAAATCTCTCCCCCACGGAGGGTGGCTACAGCACAATTCCTTCTTCACTGCTGTCCTCTCAGGATTTTGGGCACGCACACACACACACGCCGACATGTTTTAAGCCACCGGGTTTGGGACTTGAACCATGGTCAGCCCTGTGGGAGTCCAACTCCTTAACCATCATGCCACCTGTTCACCCAGGATCCTGACTTCAAAGACAAGAAAAAGAAAAAGAAGAAGCGCACATGCAAACTGAATGTGCAGTGTTATGAGCCCGCTGCACGCAGGCCTTCTAGAACGATCCGTGGCCTCCTGGGCCAGCAGACCTCGCCGACCTGTAGAACTTGTTGAGTCGGATCTTGATGTCCGTCTCGTTGGGCCGGCCGTTGCTCTTCTTGGTGCAGAAGATCTCCTTGATGCGGCCGATGCGGTAGGGCTCGGGGGCGTCCAGGTTGCTGCCTTTAATGTAGTCGGAGTACTTCCGGTAGTGCTCCGGGTACAGCTCTTCATCCACCGGCTCCTTCCGGGGGCGCTTCACGGGGCTGGACAGCTTGATGCTGCAGGGGCAACCGGATTGCAAGGCACGATGACCGCTTCAGGTCAGGGCCAGGGCCAAACACCTTGTAAACTAATGCACTAAGTGTGCTTGGCCAAGACCGAGTTCGAGATGCAATCCTGCCCAAGGTTTAAGACGCGCTTCCCTGCCTGTGCTCCCTGACACTGCTCCGATCCTCCCAGCTGCCTACCGCCCACACGTGGTACTGTGCACGCCCTGGCATGGGCCAGTTCTGGGCACTGAGCGTGAGTGGAAGCCAGCGGGTGACTTGGGAGCTTGACTGCCCAGGGAGCATGCTGTGTGTCCTCGGGTCAGGGCTCCAAGGGCCGTGACAGGTGGAGCCCTGCGGAACCGACGGGCACACCGGAGAACTTCGGTGGTCTCAAGGCACTGTGGTTCTGGGGCTGTCACCGGGGCCCCACCTACACTGCCCTGCTAAGGAAGTGATCGGGAGGTGATGCTGGAGATGGCCTGGCAGAGACCAAAGGTCTGCCATGCCAGAGCTGGGGCCATCGAGCTGCGATCTTTGCCCCCAAAGGTCCCCCCGGGCCCCGCGCTCAACGTGCCCACTACACCAAACACCCGGTGAAAAGCACGATGGGGAGGCCACCCCTCCACACCGAGGGTGGCCGGTGCTAGAGGAGTGATGCGCCCCAACCATGCGGGGGCCGGGGGCAGGGAGAGCCCACTTGCCCTTCTTTAATTCACAGCAACTCCACTGAGGTTGGGGATGGGTGCTCACAGGATTCTGGGAGAAAGGAATTGCAGGGTGGCCTGTGGCCTGCTGGGTAAGGCAGTCGGACCACACAAGATTGACGAGGCGGTTTGAATCCCGGCCCCAGAGGGTTCAAAGACACAGCAGGCATGTGTGTGTGCCCCAGAGTGGACAAGTGGGGGGGAAGGGACTGCGGTGTGACCGTGCCAATTGGGGGGTCCTTTCTTCTCTGTCTCTTTTTGAGGCACACAGAGACACAAAAAAGAAAAAAAAGGAATTGCAAGTTGGGAAACCACACTAAGTCTGGAAAATGTTTCTTATAATTCCAGCCACGTGCAAGCCCTCAGAATGGACACCGGCTGGTCGCACGTGGAAGTGACCGGGGGCTTTGGAATCCCCAGAGGGGCCACTCGCATTCATCAAACCCGGAAGCCGAGCACTGCGCCCGACACTCACTGAACCCGTAGGGTCCTGGCAGGGGAGGCCCACTCTCCGCTTCACAGACAAGACCCGGCGAAGGCGTTCCCTGGCGCAAAGCTGGGGGCTGGGCTGAGGCAGAGGCAGGAAGCAGGAGGCACCCCAGCTGGCCCCCCACAAATGCGCAGCGACCCTCGGATGGAGCTGTGGTCGCCCCACCCTGGGCGGCTGGGTGCTGTCTGTCTGCCACGGTGCGAGTGTGTAGCCTGGGCAGCAGCTGGGCCTGAGGGGTGCAGTGGGCACGTCGCTGTGGAGGGGCACCAGAAAGCCAGCCCTGGACTCTGAAGCTCCCCGGCCCCGGCCTGGGGAGAGGGGACCCTCACTTGAAGGCGAAGGCCTCGGGGGGCAGGTACACGCCGTCGCCCACCCGGTACAGGGTGCCGTTCTTGGTGGCCGAGCTGTAGAGGACGCGGCTGTCCAGGTCGTCGAGCTGCTCCAGGACCCTGGGGATCTCCTTCTGCCTCATCTCGGCCAGGCGGGCACAGCTGGCGCAGAACCTGAGGGGAGGAGGACGGGAGCGAGGCCGGCGGTGACTGAGCTGCGGTGGCCAGGAGCCTTCCCGCCCCTGACGTTCAGCCCGTACAGGCACGAGCTTAGGCCCGGATCCCAGGGGCGGGAGGCAACCCCGCCTCACGTCACCCATACAATAACCCCACGACGTTAGCGAGCAGGACCGAGGGCAGTCAGGGTTAGGCCACAACGAGGGATGCAAACACGGGCCGAGCTCCCGGGAGACACGTGGAAGCGCACTGCTGTGCGGTGGTTGAGATCACCGGGACGTGTGGGTTCGGTTCCCAGCCCAATCTAAACAGGCTGGGCGTGGGGGTGCACGGCTGGGTCCCAGGGGGCTGGGGTGTGGCCAAGAGCCTTCCAGAACCACCACGTTCTCTCGTTAAAAAAGAGAGAGAGACCAGCAGTTGGCGTAATGGCTATGTCGCTGGACTTCCATGTAGTCGACTGCGGTTCGAGTCCCGGACCCGGTGGCTTAAACTCACGCCAGGCGTGTGTGTGTGTGTGTGTGTGTGTGCCAAAGATCCCGAGAGGAGAATGGAGGAGAAGGGACTGCGACCTGGCCATCCTCCCTGAGGGGGGGGAGCCCTCGCTTTCTTTTTGTCTGTTTGGTGAGCGTATGGTCAGCCCTGTGGAAATCCCTCTCTAAAAAAATAAACCACACACACGCGCGCACACACACACACACGCACACACACACACACGCACACACACGCACACACACACGCACACACACACAGAGGCCCAGCTTGTTTCTGGGTTCCCGGGAACACGCCCGGTCCGTTAGCATAGCTAACTAGGAAGCTGGGGTGGGAGGATCGAGACATGGAGAGAGCTGCCGAAAAAGATCTGTCTCTCTCTTCCCTCTCTCTCTCTCTAAAGACAAAAATTGCAAAGGTGTTTCGGCAGGAACTCAGAACATCAAAGGAGGCTCACGGGGCGCTGTCCATAAAGGCTGGAAGGTGTCTGAGCAGATTCAACGTTACAGTTGATTAATGCAGCCTTAAAAACGGAGACTGGGAGACCGCTTTAAACACAGACCAAAGGGCTGGCAGGTGGCGTGGTGGTTAGGGCGCTGGGCTCCCATGTGGCCGACTGTGGTCAGAGCCCCAGCCCTGGTGGCTGGCTTTCTCACTTTCTCTCTCTCTCTCTAGTAGAATTTACAAAATAATAATAATAGAGAACCAGCAGGTGGCGCGGTGGTTAAGGTGCCGGACTTGGTTCGAGCCCCAGACCTGGCAGCTGGCTGTCTCACTCTCCGGGTTCCAGCAGCACGAGGACATGGCTGCCCAGGGGGTGACAGGAGGCCCCGGGCCAGCACTCACTCTCCGGGTCCCAGCAGCACAAGGACATGGCCGCCCAGGGGCGACAGGAGGCCCCGGGCCAGCACTCACTTGTACTTGTTCTCCTCCGTGGGCTGGGTCTGGGGCGGGGACTCGAACCGCGCGTAGTCTTGGTCGTACCACAGCTGGTAGAAGTAGGTCTTCCCGTCGTCCCCCTCCAGCATGGACTCGGGGTCCAGGCCCCCCTGCGGGACGAGACCGTGAGCCGGGAGCCCAGCGGGGAGTGGCGGCACACGAGGGCTGCCGGACGCCGGCGCTCACCTCCAGGGCCCAGCTCTCCGAGGGCGCTTTGTAGACGACCGTGACTTTGCTGTGGATGTAGGACAGCTGCATGTCCTCGCACTCGTCCACCAGGAACAGCTCCAGCGGGTCCGACGTGGCCCCGAGGACCGTGTCCGTCCCGGCGCAGAACCAGTGGGCGTGGAACATCTGCCCGTTGCTGCTGTCCTCCCACAGGGCCGTGACTCTGCGATCGGAGGGGACAGGGACGAGAAGTTCCACCTTGGCCGGCTGGTCCCACCCGAGTCTACTGGGGGAGCCTGCATCTTTTCAGGGCCGAGCCTGGGGCATGAACTGGGGCTGCTGCTTCAGAAAACGAGCGTTTCCTATTTGTTCCCAAGAACGCCGATCAAAAAGATGGACGTGGGCCTGGCAGGTGGCGTGGTGGTGAAGGGCACAGGACTCCCACATGGCTGACCACGGTTCGAGTCCCAGACCTAGTGGCTTTCTCTCTCTCTCTCTCTTTCTCTCACTTTGTCCCTCTATGGTCAAATTGAAATAAATAAATAAAGTTAAATAATTAAAAAAAAAAAAAAAAAAAGATGGATGCCAACAGCTATAGTTTTATACATCCCCAGGCTGGTGCTGAGTCATTTAACACAACGGGGTAAATGCTAGACCCCAAGATGGCGCTGATGGTGAGGCCTTCTGGGAGGAGGAAGACTAAGCAGGAGGTTAGTCCGGCCCTGTAGCCCCGTGGCTAAGGGCGCTGGATCCCGTGTGGCCATCCACTGTTCAAATCCTGGCCCTGTAGGCTGGAAAACCACGACGGGCACGGGTGTGCGTGTCCCAAGTCCCGACGATGGAGAACTGGAGAAGGGATTGCAGTGTGACCACGCCCCACCGAGGGGGGATGTCTCCCTTTCCCTATCTCTGGCAAACACATCTAACCCTCTGGCAATTTTAAAAAACACTGGGACCAGCAGATAGCATCATAATTATTTCACTGGATTATACGTCGTGGACTGCGGTTCCAGTCCTGGACTCAGAGGCTTAAAAAAACTCATGCAGGACGCGTGTCCGGGACTTGAACCACGGTTGACTACACGGGAGTCCAGCAACATAGCTATTACACCAACTGCTGGCTCCACAGCTCTAGTCTCTTCCAAGACGCAGAGTCGGGCGTGTCTGGTTGCCGGGCCCAGAGCGGGCCGGCACGCACCTGGCCAAGTACAGCGGTTTCGAGGAGTCGTCGGGGATGACGGAGACGCAGTCGCCCACCTCCAGGGTCTCCGCGTCGATGCACACCTTCTTATAGTAACTCTTCTTCCCGTCCGTCTGGAAGAAAGGCGTCTGGGCTCAGCGGAGGGGGTCTCGAGGCGCCTGCGAGGCCTGCCCTGCGCGGTCCTCTGTCACTTGACACAAACGTGACCCGTACCCATCTCTAGGAGCCGTGAGCGCTGCCGCAGCCGGGGCACTCGGGGCAGGGTTGGCAGCACCCGGGCTGCAGTACATGGGTTTTCAAAGGTTTCTTTCTTTCTGTCATCCGAGAGACAACAGGGTCTCTCCAATGCCATCTGCCCCATCTGGGCCGGCCCTGGTGACAGCACACAGGCACCCCACTCCATGCTCGGGTCCAGCTGCCACCCCTGGGCTGTCACCCAGCCTCGCCCTCCTGTCTTCGATTTCAACAGAGCGGCTCCCAACCCCTCCACGACCTGGAAGGCCAGCACCTGTGACTCCTCCTACCCGCTTAGCCCTCGCTCCTCGCCCGGTCCTGGGCTGGCTCCCTGCTCTTCAGCGAGGTGGGCGGCCACTGCAGCGCCTCTACCCTCCCGGATCTTGGCTCAGAGCTCTGCTCCCAGGGCCTCGAGCCCCAGCCCCTTCCCACTCTGCACCACGCCACAGCGCTCACACCACTGGACGGCACATGGGTCTGGCCTCCTGCTGGGGCGCGAACCGGCTGCACGCTAGGGGTGGGGGTATCAGGAAAGCACCCTAAGACGACACCTGCTCTCTCGAGCTCTGGTAGGGCAAGTGCCCGTCAGGCAGGCCGGGGGCTGCAGTGCCACCGAGAGGGGATGACCTCCAGGGCCCCAGGAACGCCCATCCCCAGGCCCAGTGCCTCCGACTGCTCTCTTCAAACCGAGCTTCGAAGGCAAAGCTCCCTGGAGCCCAGAAGGTGTCGAACGCCCACTTTGGAAATTGGGAAAACCATGACTTATGGACCCACAAACGGAAATGCCTTTCTAGAGCCTGGGCAGGGGACACGGCCACCCGGCCAGCGTTCCCGAGTAAGTAAGTGTCCACGCTTGGAGCGTGGTTGCTGGAGAGGCCCCCAGAGGTGACAACACACTGGGGCGGCGGCAGAGAACGGACAAGCGTCTCCTCCCAGGGTTACCTTGACGGCCTCGCCGACCCAAGAGATCCGGTTCTTGTTCTGCTTCTTTTTCTTCCCCTGATGCATTTTTTTGGGTGACGGCATCTCTGGGATGTTATCGTCCACTTCCTCATCGTCATCGGCCTCCTTCATGGCCATGTTGGGACACCTGCCGAGGCACGTGTCACAATGAAGCCCCCCCTGCTTTGGAAAGCTGGTTTTATTCCTGGGCTGGCCCTGCGGCCCAATGGTTAAGGAAGCTGGATCCCACATGGCGGCATGTATGGTTCAAATCCTGGCCCCAGCAACTTAAAAAAACATATCACACACACGTGTATGCGTACAGGTCCCAAATACCAACAGGACAGAGAAATGGGGTGACCAGACCCCATTAGGGGATGCCTCCTCTCACTCCCTTTCCTCATGTCTCTCTGGCAGACCCATGCACATCTCGGCAAATTAAAAATAATTATGTTATTTCTTGGGGCCAGGAGATGGCATGGTGGTTAAGGTGCTAGACTGTCACATGGCCTAATGAGGTTCGAGTCCCAGACCTGGCAGCTTGCTTTCTCACTTTCCCTCTTGTCTCTCTGGTCCAATTTAAATAAATAAATAAATAAATAGGGGGCAGCGGGTGGTGTGGTGGTTGAGGGGCTGCACACTCCCACGTAGTCGACCACAGTTCGAGTCCCAGACCTGGTGGCTTGCTTTCTCATTTCTTTTCTCTCTGCGTGTCTGTTTTTCTCAAATTAAAATAGATGAATGAATGAATGAAATTAAATAAATCAAATCATAATAATACAGGTGAATAAATAAATATTAAACCTAAGTAATTCTTAGGAGCCAGCAGATAGCGTGGTGGTTACGTTGCTGGACTCCCACGTGGCCACCTGAGGTTGAGTCCTAGACCTGGTGGCTTCACAGTCATTCCAGGGGCGTGCCCCAGTTCTCGAGAGAAACATGGAGTAGAAGGGATTATGGTGTAGCCATCTCCACTGGGGAGTGATTTTTCACTTTCCCTCTTACTGTCTGTGTTTCTCTCTCTCTCTCTCTCTCTCCAGCTAGTGCACACTCACTAAGACAAAAAAGAAAGAAAAAATAAAAACGTTAGAAGAACAAACTTAAGGGGCTGGCAGATGGCACGATGGTTAAGAGCCCTGGACTCCCACCTGGCTGACCGTGTTTCAAGTCCCGGAAGTGGCTGCTTGCTTGCTCACTTTCCCTCTCTCTCCCTCTCACTCTGTCACTCTCTGGTCAAATTTAAATCAATCAATCAATCAATAAAGTGACTCTTTAAAAAACAAACAAAATCGTTAAAAGAACTGTTATTTCCTTCATGAAGAAACAGACTGTCTGTGTGAGGGGCACCCTCGGCTGTACCCCAGATCCCCTCGGGTTTGTCAGGACCCGGGTGGGCAGGCCTGGCATGTTTCAGGCCGACTCAGGATCCGAGCCCGTGGTCGGCCACGTGGCTCCCAGCACGGCAATCCGGCTGCTGCCTCCTGCCCCACCGAGGCTGGGCCGGACTCCTCTGCTGCGTACAGCCAGCTGGGACAGCCTGGGGACAACGCCAAGCACAGGAGCCCTGCCTGGTCCTCAAGTCTCGCCCCCCACGTTGGCCGTGTTCCCAGCGGGGTCAGTGCGGCTTACCTCCTCTCCTGGCAGGCCTGCTTGCTCCGCCCGCTGCCCCCAAACTTCACCATGTCCTTGCAGGCTTTGCACTTGCCGCACTCAGGCTGCTGACAGACCTAGGACACAACGTTGAAAAGGCGAATCGAACGGGCCTTCGTGAATGACCCGTGATGCCCGGTACATCCTACGTCTTTAAAACAATAATAAAATCAGATAATATTTTTTAAAGGAAAGGGCATATCTTCAACCTCATTACAAGTGCAATGAGTGAGAATCAGAAATAAGACCTCACGCCTACCCGCCAGTCGGGCAGTGGTGCGGGGAAAGAGGACTCACACTGTCCCAAGGGTCAACGGGTGAAGCCGAACTGGAGAGCGGTTTCTAGGTCCGAGTTAAGAACACGCTCCCAGCGCAGCCATTCTTCAGAGCAGAAATACTCGTAAGAAGCTTCATTCAGGACCAGCAGTTGGCACAATAGCTACGTCGCTGTACTCCCACGTAGCCATCCACGGTTCGAGCATCAGACCCAGTGGCTTAAACTAAGGCTGAGCGCGTGTGCGTGCCCAAGATCCCGAGAGGAGAATGGAGAAGGGACTGTGGCGTGGCCATCCCCCCGGGGGGGGGATTTCTCACTTTCTGTCTCTGTCTTTCTGGCGAGCGCACATGCCCTATAGCAAAAATCTCATCCTCCCAAAAAAAGAAGCTTCATTCAAGGATGCTGTCCCATTGTTTATCTCCTTTATTATTTTTTTTAAATGAGTATTTTTGCTGTAGAATGTGTGCGCTCACCAGAGAGAGAGGGAAAGCGAGAAATCACCCCCCAGGGGGGATGGCCATGCCGCAATCCCTTCTCCTCCATTCTCCTCTTAGGATCTTGGGCACGCATGCACAAGCACCTGGTGTGAGTTTTAGCCACCGGGTCCAGGACTTGAACTGCGGTCGACTACGTGGGAGTCCAGCAATGTAGTAGCCATTATACCATCTGCTGGTCCCAGGTTTTATTTTTTTAAGAGGGATTTTTGCTGTAGGGCACATGCACTTGCCGCAGAGAGAGAGAGACAGGAAGCGAGACGTTGACCCCCAGGGGAGGGTCGCATTGCAACCCCTTCCTCTCTGTTCTCCTCTAAGGAGTTTAGACACGCATGCACACGTGCCTGGTGTGAGTTTGAAGCACTGGGTCTGGCACAGCAACCGTGTTCAATTACGCGGTGTCTAATGATGTAATCACTCTGCCACCTGCTGGTCCCTCTCCTCTCGGGACTTTCAGCCCACACGCACATGTGCCCAGCCTGTTTCAAGCCTCCTAGTCCAGGACTCAAACTGTGGTCAGATATGTGGGAGTCCAGTACCTTAACCACTATGCCACCTCCTACTCCCTTCTCTTTTTAATTTTTAAAAAATTGTTGTGGGGACCAGCAGATGGTGTCGGAGTTGCATTGCTGGACTCCCACATGGCAGATCGTGGCTTAAGTCCTGAAGTCCACCCACCCCCAGGAGGGATGGCCACGCTGCAATCTCTTCTCCCCGGATCCTCGCCACGCACGCCTTTGGCCACAGTTGGCCACGTGGGAGTCCAGCGACATAGCTGCACCCAGGCAGGATGCGGAGATGGAGGGTGGGGTTTCCTGCCCTCTGTCTCTCTCTGGCCAGTGTACATGCCCTCGAGCAGCTGAAACGATTTTCAAAGTAAAACCAAACCAAGAACAGCAAGAACACGGCAGCTCCCACTCGGGCTTCACGGACCGCCAGAGGGCAGTCTGGAGGTCGGCCTGAAGAGGCACACCGGGACTCCTGAGGGAGCTGCCGCACATCTGCGTGTGTGTATGCGTTCAAAATGACGTCGAATGACGGACACCAAAGAGACCTCATCTCTGGGTCACAGGACTGGGGGCTAAACCATCCAAAGTGAAAGTACGAATGCATTAAAAAATGAACAGAGGGGCCGGCAGGGGCTATGGTGGTTGGGGGCACTGGACTCCTACATGGCCAACCACGGTTCGAGTCCCGGACCTGGCAGCTTGCTTTCTCATTCTCTCTTTCTCTATCTGTCCCTCTCTGGTCAAATTTTAAAAATATATAAACAGGGGCTGGCAGGTGGTGTGGTGGACTCCCACATGGTCAACTGCCGTTCAAGACCAGCACTGGCAGCTTGCTTTCTCACTCTCTCTCTCTCTCTCTGTCCCTCTTTGGTCAAATTAAAATAAATAAATAAATAAATAATAAAGTTAAATACAATAATTCTTAAAAACATACATATAAGTAAGTAATAATTCTTTAGGGAGGAAAAAGTGAACAGAGAGGAACCAGCAGATGACATAGTGGCTATATCGTGGGACTCCCACACAGTCAACCACGGTTTGAGTTCTAGGCCCGGCAGCCTAAAACTCATGACGGGCGCATGTGCGTGTGAGCCCGAGATCCTCAGAGATAAATGGAGGAGGGCCTGTGGCGTAGCCACCCTCCCGGAGGCGTGATTTCTCACTTTCTGCCTCTCTGTCAAGCACATGCATCCTATAGCAAAAATCTCTTTAAAAAAGAAAAAAAAAAAAAAAAAAGGATGGGATCGGCAGTTGGCATAATGGCTGTGTCGCTGAACTCCCATGTAGTCGACTGTGGTTCGAGCCCCAGACCCGGTGGCTTAAACTCACACCGTGGCCAACTTCGAGCGGGGTGATTTCTCGCTTTCTGTCTCTCTGTCTCTCTCTGTCTTTTTGGCGAATACACGCCCTATAGCAAAAACCTCTTAGAAAAAAAACAAGGAACAGAGAGGCCTTCTAGAGCCTCCGGTCCAAGTTAGACAAAATACCCCCTTCCGTAGGGCCACCCCCGAGAGGATTTCTCTCCCTGGAGGAAGTGGCACCTGCGGGAGGCTCCCCCTCAGCCGTGACAGCAGGCCCTTCATACCCAGCGAGACGTGGCCGAGCACAGGCCGCCCAGGAGGCGGGCTCTCGAGTTCAGGGCAGTGGCGTGATCAGCAGTCCCTGCGTGTCTCGCTGCCCCGTCTCACCCACATCCGTCGGGCGCGCTTACCTCACAGACGCCACAGCGCCGGCGTTTGAAGGCGTTCTCCTTGTCTTCTCGGTCGTCCTTTTCGATCTGCTCTGCGAAGAAGGTGTCAAAGATCTGGTAGACCAGCTTGGTGGTGGTGGCTTTCGTGGGGCCCTTGTCCTTCTCCCGGGTGGAATGCCTGATGGTCTGCCGTCTCTCAGCTCGCCTAGGGGAGAGGTCTCTGCTGTTAGTGCGCCGGGGAAGAGGGCAGGGGGCACGGACTGCTCCGGGCTCAGGCCTCTGGCCTCCTCCTGGCCGCCAGCTTACCTCTGTCCCAGGGTGACCCCGGCCAGCTTGATCAGGTCTCTCATGCAGGGGGTCAGGAAGATGGGCTGCTCATCACTGTCCCCCGCCTCGTCATAACTCTCGACTTGCTCCACCACGAACTGGGCGTGTCGGAGGAGGGAGTCCTCGGTGAATCGGTTCAGGTTGAGTCCAGAAGGGGGAACAGTGGTCTTTAGAGAAAAGGAAACATCAGAAGTTTTCTTACGCTTAAGCCAAACGTGTGTGTGAGACTTTCTTTTACCTCTTTTTAAGAGAGAGATTTCTGCTATAGGACATGTATGCTTGCCAGAGAGACAGAGAGAGACAGAAAGCGAGATATCACCCCCCAGGGAGGATGGCCACACCACAATCCCTTCTCCATCCTCCTCGCGGGGTTTTGGACACACATGCACTTGCGCCTGGTGTAGTAGTTTTTTTTAGATTTTTTTAGTTTTGTAGAGGTTTTTGCTATAGGGCACATGCGCTCGCCAGACAGACAGAGAGAGACAGAGAGACAGAAAGCGAGAAATCACCCCCCAGGGGGGGATGGCCACGCCACAATCCCTTCTCCTCCATTCTCCTCTCAGGATCTTGGGCACGCATGCACACGCACCCGGCGTGAGTTTAAGCCACCGGGTCCAGGACGCGAACCGCGGTCGACTACGTGGGAGTCCAGTGATGTAACCACTGCGCCATCTGCTGGTCCCTCTCTTCCCTTCTTTTTCTTTTTTTAATTATTTAATTTTATTTGTTGTTATTCATCAATTTGACCAGAGAAAGACACAGAGGCAGAGACAGAGAGAGGGAGACTGAGAAAGAAACCGCGGGGCCAGCGCCCTGCCCACCACGCCACCTACGGCCCCCCCTGGCGTTGTGAGCACGAGTTCCACTGTGCTACGGTCTCCAGCTGCAGCCTGCCGAGCACGTGGGACCATAGGTATCCCACACCACTTCCGGGCTTTCAAATTTTTTTTTTTAATTTTGGTTTTTTACATAGGGTATCTGATCTTGCTGGAAAGAGACCGAGAGAGAGAAAGGAAAAGTGAGAAAGCAACCCCCCGGGGGAGATGGTCATGGCCCTATCCCTTCTCCATGTTCCTCTTGGGATTTTGGGCATGCATACACACACACCCCTGGCCTGATTTTCAAGCTACCGGGTGTGGGACTCGAACCGTTCAGCCGACTTGTGTGAGATCCTGCTGCCTTAACTACCAAGCCGTCTGCTGGCTTTTGAACACTGTTCCGTAGGGTGGGGCAGGATTCAAACCGGGGTCTCCCATGTGGCCCCAAATGCCATCCAGCAGTGTCCAGCGCAGGCACCCGAGATTGGGCAGCCAACAATTCTTTCTTCCATTAAAAAAGAAAACTGCATGGGGACCAGCCTGCGGCACGGTGATTAGGGCGCTGGACACTCCCATATGGCTGACCACGGTTTGGGGGGAGTTCAAGTCCCGGACCTGGTGGCTTTCTTTCTTTCTTTCTTTTTTGAGAGGTTTTTGCTATAGGGTCCATGCGTTTGCCAGAAAGACATAGAGAGACAGAGAGACAGAAAGTGAGAGATCACTCCTCAGGGGACGGACATGAGTTTTCCAGCAATGTCTACAGCATGTGGAAATGTGTACAAGGCCCGGGTCCTGGAGAACCTACACCGCTAACCTCGATCTGTTTTTCTAAAGATTTTATTAAATTGTTTTTTCAATAATTTTATTTAACTTTATATATATATATATATATTTTACCAGAGAAAGAGAGAAAGTGAGAAAGCAAGCTGCCAGGTCCGAGACTTGAACCGCAGTCAGCCACGTGGAGACCGGCGTCTTTAAGCTCCACGCCACCTGCCGGCCCTGACTCACCTCGATCTTGTTGATGAGGTCTTCGTAGGTGGAGTCGGGGTTGTTCTGCAGAAACTCGACCACGATCTTGCTGATGTAGATTTTCTCTTGCATCAGCCCAAATATCGGCGCGTACTCCGGGCTGGGGTCCATCAGGATGTACTCGGCAAAGGCTGCATGACAAGACGGCTCTGCTTTACTCGCTTACTTATTTAAAGAATGACCTTATTTGTTTATTTATTTATTTATTTTAATTTGACCAGCAAGGGACAGAGTGAGAGAGCAAGAGGAGAGAGAGAAAATGAGAAAGCAAGCCGCCAGGTCTGGGACTCGAACCACAGTTGGCTGTGTGGGACTCCGACCACCACGCCCCCTGCAGGCCCCATCTCTTTTTTTTTTTTTTTTTTAAAGAATTATTTATTTAATTGTATTATTATTATTTAATTTGACCAGGGAGAGAAAGAGAGAAAAAGAGAGAAAGTGAGAGGGCAAGACTCCAGGTCTAGGACTAGAAGCACAGCTGGCCATGTGGGAGTCTGGGGCCTCAACCACCACGCCACTGGCTGGCCCCTCTTTGTTGTTTAAGACAGGGTCTCAGTGCATTTGCAATCCTCCTACTCAGCCTCACCGAGAGACAGAGAGACAGAAAGCGAGAAATCAACCCCGGGGGGATGGCGGCGCTGTAATCCCTTCTCCTCCATTCTCCTCTCGGGATCTTGGGCATGCACGCACACGCGCCCAGCTTGAGTTTTAAGCCACTGGGTCCGGGACGCGTACCGCGGTCGACTACGTGGGAGTCCAGCGACATAGCCATGACACCACCTGCTGACCCCGCCCCCTGATGTGTTAAAAAGCAGTGTGAACCTGAGGGCACCGACGCAGCCCAGAGCAGGGAAGGAGTCGCTCAAGGCTGGGAGACAGCCCCAGAGTCCCCTGCACCCCAGGGCCCACAATGCAGAGCACCGCGCATCACAATGGGCTCATTCTGAAGTGGCCTGTGTGGACCAACTAGAGAACAGAGACCAGTCAGGTGGGCCCGCGTGTCGCAAGCGAGGCGCCGACATGGTCCCCACGTGGTCACGCCCAGCCACCCCCCGGAAGGGCTTGAGCTCAGGCCCGTGTGCGGCTCCCACAGCAGCTGAGGACGGGCCACACACTTACAGGTGCTGAAGCCAATGAGAGCCTTCTCGCCTCCGTCGAAGCCGGTGATCCACCACTCGTTGATGGGGCCGAGATTTTTGCCATTGACGCCACCTAAGAGCGGAAGGGGAAGTTTCCCAGAAGGACGCGGCAGCAAAGCTCTGAGCCCCGCTCGAAGCCTGGGAGACCCTGGAGGGCTCCGCTCAGCAGACATTCCCGGCCAGGCAGGCTGGGCAGTCCTCCTCGGAGCCATCAGAGCCGTTCTGAGGACAGCTACTTGTGCCACGAGGCCCCCCGCCCTGACGAGGGGCGAATACGCCCCTCATGTCCCCTCATGAACACCACGCTGACAATTTTGCGTGGCTTCCTTTTTTTGTTTTCCTCTTTAAATGACAAGAGGGGGAAGAGAGGTAAGTTTTTTATTTTTGTATTATGCTCATTTACGTCTTCTGTAAGAGACAGATAGGCAAGTGCCTCCTACAGGTCCCTCACCGCAATCCTCTCCCTCAACCTTCCCAGTCAGTCGGGGTAGTGAGCACACGTCTGGCGTGCACGGCCTGGCCAGGGAATCGAACCCGCCATCTGTGTGCATCCTGTGTTGTGTGAGCACCATGTGCCACTGAGCTAGAGAGATACTAGGGACAGGGTTTGCCACAGGAAGCCTCCTGCCCCAGCCTCCAGGCCAGCCAGGAGCACAGGCATGTGCACCGCACCTGCCCTATGGAGGTTGGAGGAGAAACCAAACCCAGGCCTCCCGTGCGGCCTTCGCCCCCACGGCCTGCTTGCAGCACAAAATTAAATGTGCCTATTTTTTTTTTTTAAAGACTTACTTACTTTGTTATTACTATTATTTTTAAATTAGAGAGAGACAGAGAGAGAGAGAAAGGGAACTGAGAAAGCAAGCCACCAGGTCTGGGACTTGAACCACAGTCGGCCACGAGGGAGTCCAGCACCTTAACACCAGCGCCACCTGCCGGCCCCTGAACCTGTTTTTTTTTTTTAAATATCTGTCCTTTGAAAAGCTCCAGGACCTTCCGTTTACCTTCAAGAGACGGGTCGTCGTCATATATGGGTTTTGCTGAGCCGGAAAAGAAGAGCTCGACGTTCTTCTCGATGAGGCCGGTGTCGATCGGGCACAGGTGGCCGTGCTTACAGTACACACTGCGGGGCAAACGGAGAGAGCTCACCAGCTAACCCGGGAGGGCAGGCCGGCACGGAGCTGAGACTGGGCATGGGGGGTGGGGGTGCCAGAGAGAGAGACGGGCACCCCTAACGTGTCCTGGCACGCCGCAACCCTCTTCCCTCCAGTTTCTACCCTGTCAGGATCCCGGATGCAAACACACATACCCAGAATATTTTTCAAGCCACTGGAGCCAGGACTCAAACCCTGGTTGGCCACGTGGGCTGTGGCTTCCTCTGCGCAGTGCTTAACTACTGCACTACAGGACTGGCCCAATATGTATGGTTTTGCTGCCTTCTTTTCTTAAACTATTTATTTATTGGGACCAGCAGATGGAGTAATGGTTACGTCGCTGGACTCCCACATGGCCGATCAAGGTTCAAGTCCCATCCCTGGTGGCTTCAAACTCATGCTGGGTACATGTGCGTGCATGCCCAAAATCCCAAGAGGAGAATGGAGGAGGGATTGCAGCGTAGCCATCCCCCTAGGGGGAGATTTCTTGCTTTCTGTCTCTGTTTCTATCTCTCTGGTGAGCGTATTCACCCTGTAGCAAAACTCTCTAATATATATATAATATATATATATTATATATATACACACACATACACAGACACACATATATAAAGGTTTTTTGCCATAGGGCGCTAGAGAAAGAGAGGGAAAGTGAAAAATCATCCCTCAAGGGGATGGCCATGCAACAATCTTCTCTTCCTGGGATTTTATGCACTCATGCACATGTGCCCCGTGTGATTTTCAAGCTACCAGGTCCAGGACTCAAACGACAGTCAGCCCTGTTGGAGCCCCGCCCTCACAGGTTGGGAAGGACTTAGGCGGCCTTGGGGAAGCCCCTGGTTATAAGGAAGCAGAACCGCCCACGAGTGCTTGGGTTACCTGAAGTAGGTCAGCTTGTGCTGGGGAAGGGCCTCGTAACTCTCGAAGCCAGACTCGTTGGCGTCGAAGATGGACAGTTTCTCGTTGGTCAGCATCTGTGGCTCGTCCACCTGCGGGACACCGGGCGGCTCGGCAAAGGCACCGGGGACAGGAGACGCGAGGCTGAGAGCAGAGCCGGGACTTACCGCGTCGGGAGGGTGCTGCTCGTACTTGAGGTCGGGGTCGTCCAGGTACTGGCCGCACTGGATACACTTAGGCGGGTGGGTCTGCGGGACCAGAACGCGGAGCATGCTCAGAGGGGACGCCGGGAGACCCCGGGAGCGCCAGCCACCCGTCTTATCCCCAGGGAGAGGCTTACCTTGGAGTTCACCACTGTTTTGGTACGCGCCATCTTTTTCTCAGCTCTGGGAATGAAGCGTAAGAGTGTTTGCTTTTTTAAAAACTTACTTTATTTAACTCTATCTACTTATTTTTAATTTGACCAGAGAAGGACAGAGAGAGAGAGAAAGAGAGAAAGCGAGAAATCAAGCTGCCAGGTCCAGAACTTGAACTGCAGTCAACCACGTAGGAGCCCAGTGCCCTTAACCACCACGCCACCTGCTGGCCCCAAGAGGGTTTGCTTTTTAGTCATTTTACAATAGATCAAAATTGGGACCAGCAGTTAGCATAATGGCTATGTCGCTGGATTCCCATGTAGTCAACTGTGGTTCAAGTCCCGGACCCAGTGGCTTAAAACTCATGCAGGGCACTTATGTGTTCGTACCCAAGATCCCAAGAGGAGAATGGAGGAGAAGGGATTGTGGTGTGACCATCCCTCCAGGGGGTGATTTCTTGCTTTCTGTCTCTCTCTCTTTCTGGTGAGTGCACACGCCCTAGAGCAAAAACCTCTCAAAAAAAAAAAAAAAATAGAATAGATCAACGTTGACCTTTGTCAGGTTCATGCCTGATTTCAGGGGAGCGCCAGGCACTGCAGCCAGGGCGAAGCGCTCTCAACCCCAGCACGGCAGGACTGGAGCTTCTGGGTCTTCATTTGTTGGCCCAAACCAATAGAAAACAGGTGCTCTAGCATTTGGCTTTATTTTTCCATCTTAACTTTTCCCCCTAGGACAGTCACTTTAATATGACCAACCTTGCATAAAGACAAAAGCCTGGCCAGCCAGTGGCACGGAGGGTAATTCAACTACACCTTTACGGGACATGTCCTGGGTTCACATCCCGGGGCCTCCCAGAGCATGCTGGGTGCCTATGTGCCCATGATCCGGGCTGTGTAGGCTGGGGTGGACGGCAGGATGCAGACCCTGTTGGACATGCAGTCTCGCGGTGTCTCTTTGTCATGGAAAAAATACGGGTCTTCAAAATGGGTACACAAAATGTGTCTTATGGAAAAGCTATACGTGGGGGCCAGCAGATGGCATAATGGTTCTATCACTGGGACTCTCACGTAGTCGACCGCGGTTCAAGTCCTGGACCTGGCGGCTTAAAACTCATGCTTGGCACGTGTGTGCACCTAAGATCCCAAGAGGAGAAGGAAGGAGAAGGGATCGTGACATGGCCATCCCCCCGGAGGGTGATTTCTTGCTTTCTGTCTGTCTCTCTGGTGAGAGCACACATCCCATAGTAAAAATCTCTCGGAAGGAAGAAAGAAAGAAAAAAAACCTATGCATGGACCATGAAATCACTCTGCACCAAAATAAACTCATACTTTAATTCCATTTGCCTGTAAACTTTTTAAGGTCCTCTTATAAACTTAAAAAAAAAAAAAGATAAAAAAATAAATTCTTACGGTTCTTTGAGTGTCGTTTTGCGTCTCTTCTCCTCCTGTATGGAGACATGGAAAAAAACACAGGGGCCAGGGGTTAAAAAGGGCCGTTTAGCTGGGCAGTGCTTCAAATTTAAGAACTCTGTTATCACAGAACTGAGAGGGAAAGGAAGGCAGAGAGAGGACCCCTGGGTGAGTGCCGATTCACTCCAGTGTCTAACATCTTCTTTTAAAAAGGTTTTTGCTGTAGGGTCCATGCACTAGCTAAAGAGTGAGAGAGATAGAGACTATGAGAGAGAAAGTGAGAAATCACCCCTAACCAGGGGGGTATGGCCATGCCACAATCTCTTCTCCTCTGTTTTCCTCCCAGGATCTTGGGCATGCACACACCATGCCCAGCAAGAATTTAAAGAAACCAGGACCAGGACTCGAACTGCAGTCAGCTATGTGGGAGTCCGGCGATATAACTGCTACATCATCCATTGACGCCCAGTGTCTAAAATCTTATAATAAAAAATCTGATAACCGAAGACTTAAGAGATGGTCGATGGGACCAGCAGTTGGTGTAATGGCTATGTCACTAGACTCCCATGTAGTTGACTATAGTTCGAGTCCTGGCACGCGTGCGTGTGTGCCTAAGATCCCAAGAGGAGAATGGAGAAGGGAATGCGGAGTGGCCATCCCCCCTTGGCTCCTTCTCACTTTCTATCTCTCTGTCTCTGTCTTTCTGGTGAGTGCACTGGGGGACCAGCAGTTAGCGTAATGGCTATGTCGCTGGACTCCCATGTAGTCAACCACGGTTCGAGTCGTGGACCCAGTGGCTTAAGCTCACTCTGGGCACGTGTGCATGCATGCCCAAGATCCTGAGAATGGAGGAGAAGGGATTGCAGCATGGCCATCCCCCAGAGAGGCGTGATCTCTATCTCTCGCTTTCTGTCTCTGTTGCTCTCTAGCGAGTGCACACACCCTGTAACAAATCTCTCTCTCTAAAAAAAAAAAACAAAACCCTAAGAGGCAAGGTGGAATAGTGGTTAATAAGACACTGGACTCCCCATGGCTGACTGTGGTTTAAGTCCAGGACATGGTGGCTTGTTTTCCCATCTTCTCTCTCTCTCTCTCTCTCTCTCTGGTGAATTATAGTAATAATAACAGAAATAAAAATTAAATAAAGAATTCTAAAAAAGAAATCCTCTTCGTAACGCACCCAGCCAATGGGAGGCACAGACAAAGGGAAACGGACAGGGGAGGCCGTTACCTTCTCGTCCTCGTCTCTTTCGTCAGGAACCGGTGGCCGCCCTCTCTCGGGTTCCTTTTCGTCAGGTCTCCGCTTGGCAGCTCTGTGGGGAGGCGAGCTCTCAACCACAGCGTCTCGGAACCGGCTCTGCGGCCGACTAGCACCGACACTGACAAGCTAACGCGTGACCTCTGACCCAAGGGTGAGACTCTCACGGGGTCGCTAACCGTCGTCCTGAATCGAGGCCCTTCAGAGACCCCAGGAGTCCCCTCGGATGTGGGGTTGGGAGCTGAGGGATGCCAGTGACCGTCCGGTGGCTAAGGGTAAGGACGGGGCCCGGCGTGCGGTGTGGGATCAGACCCCCGAACCCACACGGTCTGTAAGAGCACCAGCGACCGAGTGCTTCTAGCACCCCGGGTCTAGAGCAGGTAGTCTGGAAATGAACACGACACCCGGGCACGAGTGTTCAAGCCACTTACAGGTCTTTGGGCTGACTTCGGAGTCGCTTTTCATCCTGAGGGAGGAGAGAACGGGGGAAATGAGTTTCTGACATAGTTTGAGGAAATGCAAATACCACACCATCAGTTAAAGATCTCGGTACTGGGGGGGACCAGCAGATGGCGTGATGGTTATCTTGCTGGATTCTCATGTAGTTGACTGCGGTTCGAGCCCCAGACCTGGCAGCTGAAAACTCACGCTGGGTGGGTGTGGGTGCGTGTGCGTGCGTGCTCAAATTCCAAGAAGAGAATGAAGGAGAAGGGATTGCAGTGTGAACATGTCTCCTGGGGAGGGGAGGGGGGGTGATTTCTTCCTTTCTGTCTCTCTGGCAAACGCAAATGCTCTATAGCAAAAATCTCTCCCCAAAAATAAATACATAAAAATCTCAGTACGGGGGTCCTACAGGGGTTAAGGCGCTGCACTCCCACTTGGCCAACCATGGTTCAAATCCTGGATAGGACAGCGTGAAAAATCACACATGGCACGTGTGTGTGAGTGCCCAAAATCTTGAGAAGAGAACGGAAAAGGGACTGTGGTATGGCCATCCCCCCTTGGGGGGGTGTTTTCTCATTTTCTGTTTCTCTCTGGCAAGCATGTGTGCCCCATGGAAAAAAAAAAAAAAAAAGATAAATCAAATTAAATTAAATACTCTGGGCCTGGCCAGTAATGTCACACACAGCAAAGACGCTAAGACACTATTCCACAGGCTGGGATGACACGGCAGCTTGAGAGTTTTTTCCGATAACCCCAGCAGCTGAAGAAGAAACAGCGTGACAGCAAGACTCTGCCTTTAAAAAAATAATAAAAGGGGCTGGCAGGTGGCATGCTGGATAAGGGCGCTGGACTCCTACATGGTCAACCATGGTTCGAATCCCGGACCTGGTGGCTTGCTTTCTCACTTTGTGTGTGTGTGTGTGTGTCTGGTCAATTTAAAATAAATGAATGAATAAATAAAATTAATAAAATAATTATTTAGAAAATAAAAACAAGACTACAGAGCCCTCAGCTGTCGTGTTGTGGGTGGTTCCAGGCCACTCTGAACGCAAAAGCCATAGGGAAGATCAGGCTTGGCTCCTCGACAAATCTGTACACCTTGGGTGGCCAATAGTGGCATGGTGGTTAAGGTGCTGGACTCTCACATGGCCCACTGTGGTTCGAGTCCTGGACTTGGTGGCTTGCTTTCTCACTGTCCTCTCTGTCTCTCTTTGGTGAGCACACATGCCCCATAGCAAACTTAAAAAATAAAATAAATTAGGGGCTGGCAGGTGGCATGGTGGTTAAAAATGCTGGACTCCCAACATGGCTGATCATGGTTCAAGTCTTGGACCTGGCAGCTTGCTTTCTCACTTTCTGTCTGTCTGTCTCTGGTGAAATTCAATAATACTAACAATAAATAAAGTTAAATAAAAGTAATTCTTTTCAAATGTACATAAATAAAACATGATAAATTTATTCTGTACCCTAGGTACATACATGACTATCAAGGGTACTTATCTTTTTGTCTCTGTCTCATTGAAAGAAATAAACTTAAAAAAAAAAAAAGTCAGGTGGAGTTAAAAAGTATACAGAAGGCGCCTTTACTTTCTCGTCTCCGTCCTCGTCCATCCCAGTGTGCGTCCCCGGTCTCGCGTCTCTGTCGGGCTCCTCCTTGGGTCTCTGTTTGGGTGTTCTGCCAACAACAGGATGCACAGGCCAATCAGCTCAGGACCCCCCAGAAGCACGCCCACAGTCTCCTCCCCACACGCAGAGCCCGCGCCGTCTCTCCTGTCTTCCCTGCAGGAAACTCAAGGGGCGTCTACTGCATCTGAACTTCCGACAGCCAGAAATGCCAGGCACTGTGTGAGTGCCGATCAGAGATCCCCGTGGTTTAAAGCTAGAGACTAGAGGACTGCACTGATTCTTTGGGGCCTGGGCGCATGTGCGTGTGTGCCCAAAATCCCGAAAGGAGGGAGAGAAGGAGAAGGGGTGGAGGTGTGACCGCTCCCCATGGGGAGGTTCGGTGTCCCCATCTCTCTGGGGAGCGTATAAGCAACTTGCGTGAAAAAAGGCGGAGGGGTCTTTTGACTCCTGCCACGGCTGTGAGGGTGTGTCCAGGCCAGCCGAGGTGGCGGGCAGAGGGCGATCAGCCAGACTGCTCCCAAAAGCCCGGCCAAGATCGGCTGGTAAACACCGAACCGCAGACCAGTGAGTGCCACAAAAGCGCGCTGCCTGACACCTCTGAGCTTCGGGGCGGTTTATCACGCAGGGCTTCACAGCGACAGGCAGTGACACAGCTAGTCAATCGATGGCCTCTGGCCTCCAAGTGACAATCTACTGGACGACCAGCCCCGAGGAAGGGCCTGGGACAAGAAACAGGGATGGGGTGATGTCGGCCTTCGCGGTGGGGTCTGGCCCTCCCGAGGCAGGAGGTACCTGCGTGCTACCTTTTGGGTCGTTACGTGTAAGGCTCGGGGCCAGCCTGGCGCGTCCCCAGGACACGCGTGAGCCACGGAGCTGAACAGAAAGCACAAAGGCAGGTGCGAGCTGTACTCACGTTTCTTTGGTTTGACTCCTCAGTCTCTTTTCTTCCTAAGTGAGGGAACAAAAAAAGGAGCAGTTCATTGTCTCGTGTTTGGTGCTGACCTTTCTAGTAAAGTGCTCTATGGAAAGAAAATACCCAAATCGATCTGATCGTCTGGCTGGAGGGAGTACATGGTCTACCTTTTCTTTTTAAAAATTATTTTATTATTTTCTTTTTAATTTGATCAGAAAGAGAGAAAGGAAAGTGAGAAAACAAGCCACCAGGTCTAGGACTCGAATCGAGGCCAACCTATGCGGGAGGCCAGCACCCTAACCACCATACCACCTGGTGACCCCTAGACTATCCATCTTTAAGACAAATGTTTTTGGGAACAGCAGTTGGCGTGATGGCTAGGTTGCTGGACTCCCATGTAGTTAACTGTGGTTCACATCCCAGACCTGGTGGCTTAAACTCATGCCGGGGGCGCGCGTGTGTGTGTGTGTGTGTGTGCCCAAGATCCCGAGGGGAGAATGGAGAAGGGATTGCGGCGTGGCCATCCCCCCTGGGGGGTGATTTCTCGCTTTCTGTCTCTCTGTCTCTCTCTCCGTCCTTCTGGTGAACGCACGCACCCTGTAGCAAAAACCTCTCCAAGAAAAAAAAATAATAAAATAAATAATTTTAAATAATATTATTATTTTTTAAAAGAATTACTGTATTTAACTTTATTTATTTATTATTTAAATTTGACCAGAGAGGGACACAGTCAGAGAGAGAGAGGGAGGGAAAGAAAAAAAGCTGCCAGGTCTGGGACTCGAACCACAGTTGGCCAGATGGGAGTACCGTGCCCTTAACCACCACGCCACCTGCCGGTCCTAATAATAACAACGCAAAAAAGCAACTCTTCAAAAAAAAAAAAAAAAAGGGTCAATGTTATTTATGGATGATGGAATACAAGTTAGTACCTGGGTGCCAGAAAGGTAGACCTTCGCCGAGACCTGCTCAGGGAGAGGCAGGAGGGCGAGCGGACAGGTGGGAGCTCCCTGACTAAGTACCGAAGGTCTAACTGACCCCGGGGCCCAGCACCGGGGTCCTCCGGATCACCACCACCTTCTCACCCACCTTCCGCGCACAGACCCACTGGAAAAACAAGTTTGGAAAATGAGCCGAAGTCGGGGTCATTTCCGCCCTTAGTGAGAGTCCTTCTGTTCTCATCCATGTCTCACCCCCGCCCCCGGTCGGGGAACCGAACCCGAGACTGTGAGGTTAAGGTAGAATGGGCGAACTGGGAGGTGACGGGCTTTACTTTTTCATCTCGCTCTTCTTCCTTCTCGGTGTGTGTTCCTGCTTTTATTCTTTCCGCTTCTTCTGTGGGAAGAGGTGTAGCAGCTCTGCCAGGCAAAATAAAACACACCCCCTTAGGACTGGCAGCAATTCGCCCCCCAGGTTTTCCGCAGACCCTCCTGCCCACCGAAAGCGACCTTCGTCTCGGGATCCCTGAAAGGCACATCTCCATTTTCAGACTGACCTCTAAATCTGGCTGAGAAGAAATGCCAGAGGCCCTTCTTCAGTCTCTGCTATAGACGGGGAGAGTTCTACCTCAATCAAAGGGTAACGGTCCGGAGACCAGCGGATGGCATAACGGCTACGTCACTGGACTCCCATGTAGTGGACCACAGTTTGAGCCCTGGACCCAGCGGTTTAAAACTCACACCAGGAGCATGTGTGTGTGCGTGCCCCGAATCCCGAGAGAAGAATGAAGGAAAAAGGGCCGGTAGGTGGCATGGTGGTGGTTAAGGGCTCAGGACTCCCACGTGGCCAACCGCAGTTCGAGTCCTGGACCTGGTGGCTTGCTTTCCCTCTCTCTCTGTCTCTCCCTGATCAAACTGGAAAATAATAAATAAAATGGAGAAGGGATTGCGGCATGATCATTCTTCGTGTTGGGTGATTTCTTGCTTTCTGTCTGTTTCACTGGTGAGCACACATGCCCTTTAACAAAAATCTCTCTCTTAAGAAAACAAAAGGGGGGGGGGGCAGCCAGTGGCATGATGGGTCTCCAACGTGGCTGACCGCTGTTCAAGTCCCAGACCTGGCAGCTTGCTTTCTCACTTTCCTGTTTTAATTTGACCAGAGAGAGAGAGGGGTGGGGGAGGGAGTGAGAAAGCGAGTCACAAAGTCCGGGACTCGAACTGTGGTTATACATGTGGGAGTGTCCAGCGCCTTAACCACCATGTCACCTGCTGGTCCCCAAGGCACTTCTTTTTATACCTTCCAAAAAAGTAATTTTCACTTGGTGTGGTGGTTCATGCGCCTGGATCCCACACGGCCGACCGTGAGGATCACGCTGGAGGTCGAGAAGCATGCAGGCCGCATGTGTGTGCACGATCCAAACCCCAGAAGGAGAGGGAGAGAGACTGCAACAGGATCGTCCCCATGGGGGCGCTCTCTCCCTTCCTTTCTCTCTCTTCTCTTTCCCCGGCAAGCACGTGCAACCCCTAGCAATAAATAGATAAATAAAATAATTTCCACATTCAAGATTATACAAGAGGGGGCTGGCCTGGTATCCTGGTGGTTAAGATGGGTGCACCAGTAAACCAAACAATAATGATGATAAAGAAAATAAAAAGAGAGACCAAGAGATGGAATAATGGTTACGTCACTGGACTCCCACCTACTCGACCACAGTTTGAGTCCCGGCCCCGGCAGCTTGAAACACATACTGGGTGCGTGGGTGCTCAAAATCCCAAGAGGAGAATGGAGAAGGGACTGAGGCGTGGCCATCCCCCTGGGGAGTGCTTTCTGTCTCTCTGTCTCTGTCTCTCTCTGCCTCTCCAGCGAGCACCTGTGCCCTCTAGCAAAAATCTCTCAAAAAAAAGAAAAATTAATTAAAATGAAAATGAAAAAGAAAATACTAGAGGGGGGCTGGTAGGTGGCATGGTGGTTAAAGGCACTGGACTCCCACATGGCCCGCGGTTCAAGTCCTGATCCTGTGGCTTGCTTTCTCACTTTCCCTCTCTCTCTGTCTGTCCAAACTGGAAAAAATAAATAAATTTAAAAAATAAAGTTAAATAAATTAATTTTTTTAAAAAATAGAGGCAGCTGAACCCAACAAGGCTACCCACGTAGTTCAAATTCCAGCCCCAGCAGGTCGAAAAACATGCCCGGCATGGGTCCGTGCGTGTCCCCAACCCCAAGGATGGAGGTGAGGAAGGGACCACAGCATGACTGTGGCCCACGGGGCGTGCTTCCGCCGGGTCCATTCTCCCTAGCGAGCACAGTACCCGCTGGTAAATAAGGAAAAAGAATGTATGATGCAGGGCCAGCAGCTGTGGCACAATCGTAATGAGCATGCCACACACTGGACC